TCCCCCCCATCGAACACAAAAACCCCACTGGAATCTGCCCGATCGGGGAAACTTTCCCGGCAAATCCTGCCTAAAATGTACCAGGGGTGAAGGATATGGTGGCCAGCATGTTGGAAAACCCCCCCTTCTGTGGATTGAGGCCGGTTGTGTGTATCCGCCCGGAGTTCATGGCGAAGTTATGGCTTCTCGGAACTCGAATTCATGGCCAGTTGGGTATTGGCAGGGTGGTTACCGAGTGGCCAAGAAGGACAAAGCTGGGGAAGACGGCCTTCAATCCTACCTATGGGTCTCTACGAGTTCAACCTGGATGCCATTCAGGCTTGTCCAATGCCCCGAGAACTATTCCAGCGGTTGATGGAGCACTGTCCATGGGAGATCCCAACTTCGAGAACGGTATTGATATACCTGAACGACGTAGTTAGTTAGAGATGATCTGCGAAGTATTGAAAAATTCGATTCGACTGATTCGGCGAATTCGTGGACAATATTCGATTCGAGTCGAATATATTCGCTGTGAATTTAAACTTAAAAAAAGGGTGTTTCTAGGCTTCAGAGAGACTTAATATTAGTGCAGAACACTGTACCTTTAATTTAAATGCCCTTGGAGTCTGCTGGGGAAGAGAAATAATACTGTCACTCAGTATGACATGCAGATGAGTGCCGGGTCGATCTTAGAATCACCGCACATTTCACTCATTTGGCCAGTCACGGGGCCAAAACCAGTGTTTGGAGCCACAGTGTGCGGTGGAGGCAGCAGCAATGGGAGGCCATACAGCAACCTATGACAAAATGGAAACCCAGCAGGAGTGTGAGGAGACCTGAAAGTGGCACATGGCAGAGTGGGAGCAATGGGAGGCGGGTACAGGGACCCAGGTCACACTGTGGGCCCAGCAGCAGCGTGACCAGGCGGTACGGGGGCCCATGGCAGATTTGGGGCCTGGCAGCACCTATGGGAGGCCTGTAACCTGCCAGCAACCTATGACAAAATGGAAAACCGCAGGAGTGTGAGGAGACCTCAAAGTGGCACATGGCAGAGTGGAGGAGCAATGGGAGGTGGTACAGGGACCCAGGTCACACTGTGGGACCAGCATCAGCGGGTGACCAGGCGGTACGGGGCCCATGGCCGATTTGACCTCGTTCATTATCCCATAGTCCTGCCGACTCACGAATAGCGTGGCCTCCTCAAAGGGCCTGAGCAAGCGCAGGTGTCACGCATGAGCTGCCAATGGCTGACATCTAAGTTACACAGGGAGTACCTTTATCCGCTTTTAACATCAGGAAATCTGTGATGGCCTTTCGCTGTTCGTAAAGGCGGTCTAACATATGTAGTGTTGAATTCCACCCTTGTTGCAACGTCACAGCATGAGGAGTCGGTACGGGGGCCCATGGCAGATTACGTGCCTGGCAGCAGCAATGGGAGGCCCGTAATCTGCCAGCACCCTATGTCAAAAAATTGAACACACCAGCAGTGTGAGGAGACCTCAAAGTGGCACATGGCAGAGTGGGAGCAATGGGAGGCCGTACAGGGACCCAGGTCACACTGTGGGCCAGCAGCAGCGTGACCAGGCGGTACGGGGGCCCATGGGCCGATTTGGGGCCTGGCGGCACCTATGGAAGGCCTGTAATCTGCCAGCAACCTATGACAAAATGGAAAACCGCAGGAGTGTGAGGAGACCTCAAAGTGGCACATGGCAGAGTGGAAGCAATGGGAGGCCGTACAGGGACCCAGGTCACACTGTGGGACCAGCAGCAGCGTGACCAGGCGGTACGGGGGCCCATGGCCGATATTGGGGCCTGGCGGCACCTATGGGAAGGCCTGTAATCTGCCAGCAACCTATGACAAAATGGAAAACCGCAGGAGTGTTGACAAAATGGTAACCCTGGTGTCCAGGGCTCCCAGGTAAGACCAGAGATGTGGTGACTGAAGCAGGGAAACGCAGACCTTCGATATTTGATAAACAATATAATTTATTAACACTAACCCCCACCCCTAACAATACAAACATAAACGCCATTGCGAATACTAAAACATAAACACAGTGCTAAACAAACCAAACCACCCACAGATAACAATACATACAAGTCAAGCGACGTCAGGCAGGCCGGTCAAATCAATAAGGCAGTAAGGTACAGGGGGAAGCAAGCGGAAGATTGGTCAGGGTCACAAGCCAGGGATCAGAACAGTAGCAAGCATCGTGGTACAGAGGGTCCAGACAGAGGGTTGGTCAGGGATCGAGCCAGGATCAGAAGCAGGAGAAAGTCAGCAGCGGCTTCAGAAACAGGATGCAGGACAGAAACAGATGCAGGACAGAAACAGGATGCAGGACAGAAACAGGTGCAGGGCCCAGGACAAACCCAACACCAGGCCGGTCGGGGCAAGTCGGGCCATCCCTTAAATACCCCAGTAATAAATCATTTTTCCCCAGGTGTTAGCGGGCTGAAAGGTTGAGTCTCTGATTGCTGGGGGGCCCCCCGCTGGCCACCCCGGTACTCCCAAGATAAAAAGGGCAGGGGGAGTCCCACCATTGCGGCCAGTCCATTCCTAACAGTACCCCCCCCTCAAGGAGGGGCCCTCAGGACGTTTCCAAACAGTCCAAAGCGGGGGCAAAATGTTTCCACCCCCCGGGTCTGGCAACTGGGGGATAGAAAAAGACTGGCACCCCGGGCAGGACTCCGGGCGGGGCACCCGGGCGGGGATTCCGGGCAGGGGCCCCCACCCGAGCAGAGGCACCCCCGGGGCAGGGGCACCCCGGGGGCAAAAGGAAAAATGGGGAAAGGATTTCCGGGGCAGAGGCACATCGGGCAGAGGCAAAACGGGCAGGACCCCGGGCCCAGAGGCACACCGGGCAGAGGCCCCATGGGGCCAGGATTTCCGTGCAGAGGCACATCGGGCAGGACTCCGGGCAGAGGCACATCGGCAGGATTCCGGTCAGAGTACATCGGGCAGGACTCCGGCCGAGGCACATCGATTACCATCGCTAACAGCAGCAGCGGCCACCCAGCGGAGCTGCAGCACCGGGCCCCCGGCGGAGCGCAAGGCACCGGGCCCCCGGGCGGGCGACCGGCCTCGGGCCCCCATGCGGGGCGACAGGCATCGGGCCCCCAGGCGGGGCGACAGGCATCGGCCCCCCAGGCGGGCGACAGGCATGGCCCCCAGGCGGGGCGACTGGATCGTGCCCCCAGGCGGAGCGGGCGGGCGCCGGACCCTCAGTCGAGGCGACCAGGTCACGGGCCCTCAGGCGGAGCGCGAGCCGACGCCAGACCTCCGCGACGGATCGCCAGGGGCTCGGGCCTCAGCGGAGCGCGGGTCGCCGGAACCCCCCCAGGAGGAGCGACAGGGACTCGGGCCCTCAGGCGGAGCGGCGGCGCCGGACCCCAAGGCGGGCAAACGGTCTGGGGGCCCTCAGGGGGGAGCGGGGGCCCCGGGGCCCCCAAAGGGGAGGGGACGGGTTTCTGGGCCCCAGGGGGAAAGGCGGCGGGCGCCGGCCCCCCAAGGAGGGCGACGGTCTGGGGCCCTCAAGCGGGTGGAGGTCCCCGGACCCCCAGGGGGAGCGACAGGTCTGGGGGGCCCCCCAGGGGGGGAGCGACAGGTCTCGGGCCCCCAGGCGGGGGGCCCGGGGGGCGCCGGATCCCCAGGCGGAGCGGCGGGGGGCTGGCCCCCCCAAGCGGAGCAAAAAAGGTTTTGGGGCCCTAAAAGGGGAAAAGGGGGCAGGTATTGGCCCCCCAAAGCGGAGCGGGGGGCCCACCGAGAAAACCGGGAAAGACAGTAGGCTCCGAGTCAATGGAAGGGACCCCCAGGCACTGGGTCAGACTTTGGGAGGGTTTCTGGTTTGGACGGGGGGAAATGGGTCACCGGGCATCAGGTCATTTGGCTCAAACAGGGGGCCCCGGGCGTCTTTGGAAAAGGCCCAGTGGGTTTCCGGGGTAACTGGTATGCCCCGCGGGCACTGGGTCGGGACTTTGGGATCTTTCGGAACCGGACAGCGGGGGCGGGTCCCCAGGAATAGGTCATTTGGCTGGGACCCCCGGGCCCCCGCGTCATCTGGCAAGGCGGGTGGGCCCCCGGGGTAAAAACTGGTATGACCGCGGGGCACGGGGTCGGGAAAATTGGATGCTGACGGGGCAGGGGGGCCATCGGGTCACCAGGCATAAGGCCCTTTTGGCTCGCCCGGGGAAACCGCGCCATCTGGCGGGGCAGGGGGGCTCCAAAGCCCAAAGGGTTTACAAACCCGGGGCACTGGGTCAGACATTGGATCGTCGGGACTGGACAGCGGGATCGGGTCCCCAAGCATCAAGTAAATTTTTTGGCTCGAAAACCCGAGCACCGGTCATTTTTGGCAAGGCAGTGGGCCCCCCGGGGTAAAACTGGCATGGCCCCCGCGGGGAACCCGGGGGCAAAAATTGAATGTCGGGCGGGAAAGCGGGCATCGGGTAAACCGGGCATCAGGTCTTTTTGGCTCGCCCCCACCCGGGCACCGCGTCATCTGGCGGGGGGGGGGCCAGGGGGTTCCCCGAGTCAAAGGCCGCCCCGGGGGAAAGGGTCATGGGGTACCGGTTTGTCTGGCTCGAAAAAGCGGGATGGGGTATCAGGTATGACAGGGGACCACGGGTTTCACCGGCATGGGGTATTTGGTTTTGCCAGGGGGGCACCACGTTTTCGGGAAAGGCGGGGAAAACCGGGGGTCCCCCAAAGGAAACGCCAGGGGGTGCCCGAGTCAATTGGACAGCGCGGGGCCACCGGATCAGGAAACCGGTTCATCTGGTTCAAACCCCGGGCATCGGGGCAAACTGGCCTTTTGGATCGCCCAGCTGGATTCAGTTCATCATGTTTGGGTTTGAGGCTTTAAGGCCGAGAAAGAGGAAACACCCCCGAGTGAGGCTTCAGGCCGGGGTAGGGCTTAACCCCCGGGGAGGGGCTTCAGGGCTAAAAGAGGGGCCCATCAGGCCGGAGTACGGGCATCGGGCCGAGTAAAAGGCTTCGGGCCGAGGAGGGGCTTAAAACCCCGAGTAAAAGGTTCAGGCGGGAAGGAGGGGCATCAGGCCGAGTACGGGGGCCCTTTTTAGGCCCGAGTAGGGGCTTCAGGTGGGGAGAGGCTTAAAGGCCGCGTGGGAGGCTTAAAGGCCGGTAGGGGTTTTAAAGGGCCGAGAAAGAGGCTTCAGGGCGTGTAAAAGGTTGGGCCCGAGTAGAGGCTTCAGGAAAAGCGTACAGGAAAACCCAGTCTAAACCCGGAAGGCGGGACCCCGGGTTTTTTGTATACTGGCAGGATGGTTTTTGGTTTGGGAAAAGAATTTTCGCTTTTTTCTGGTTTTAAAACTGGAGCACTGAAAGAAAACCGAAAGGCCCTGAAAACCCGAATGGAGAGCGGGGACGAAAGAACTGGAGGATGGAACGGGAAAAGGGAGCAGTTGCTACAGAGGGCTTTTTTACGGGGGTTAAAAGGGCAGGATAGGGGCAGCGAGGGGGGAACGGGGTACTGACTTTGCGGTAGATACCCAAAGGGTATACTGGGCTTTTAACTGGAGGGGGGTTGGGGGGGGAATACAGGATTTAGGTTAGAAGCGGGACTGGGTCTTTGTAAGCTAAACTGGGGGCGGGGGCAAACAAGTTTTGTCCATGTCTGCAGTAGGGATTTTAACAAAGCTGAGCTTACACAAAGCCGTCTGGTCAAAGACTGCACTGCGTTTATACAAAACTCTCAGTGTCTGTGGTGGAAAATTTTTGGGGAAAAAGCTCCAGGGGAAAATAACCCCCATCATCCTCTTTAAAAACCCCCCAGGGACCCCTACCCCGGTCGGCACTAAATGGTTGGGAAAAATTTTATCCCTGCATTCCGGGGGGAAAACCCAAAGAAACCCAACTCTGCAAAACCCCCCAATCAAAGGCTGCACCCCAGAGAACCCCTGTGGGCCCCGATCTACTGAACATTTACAAGCCGGATTTCCTTCCCGCAAATTCATCCCCCGGGTATACTCCTTCAGAGTTTGATAAGCATACTCCCTGTCATCAAACACTAGCAGATTTAAAAAACACAACCTCATCCCGATCCATCCTTCCCCGCACAAGCCAAAATGGTTCCCTGTGCAGCCCTTCTGGCAGGATTGGGGCCTTGGGGTAATGTCAGGGCTCCCAGGTAAGACCAAGGTTTGTGACCCGAAGCAGGGAAAAGCAGACCTTTAGAAAATGTTATAAAAAAATATAAATTTTTTAACACCAAAAGTAAAAAACATAAACGCGTGCAATACTAAAACATAATACAGTGCAAACAAAACCCAAAACCAAACCCCCCACAAAATAAAAAAGAAAATACCCAACAAGCGTCGTTTAGGAGGGCCGGGGCAACATCAATTGGGCAGGGGAGGTACGGGGGGAGCAAGGGAAAGAATGGTCCGGGGTCCAAAAGGCCGGTTTAGCAGTAAACAACAGCGAGGTACAGAGGGTCCCGGGCAGGGGGTGGTCAGGGTCACAAGCCAGGATCAAAAGAAAGGGGAAGCAAA